ATCAAAATATCAACTTTTCATGAATTGAGAGTACTGATGTACTTAATTTCAATTAAGGCTATGTTTTGGACCATATTAAGCACAATTTATTTTTTATCTCGAAAACAGATAGAGATAGGTATAGGACATTTTCGACAAAAAAGTATTAAAATACTAGAGCGATTCCAAAAATGTATTAATATACGGGGTGTTCCATTTAAAAAAAATATAATTGCTAGGACTTTTTGATAGAAGTGGCAACGCCGCAATGCTGAATATATTTCAGATCGTTGGAACAGGTAAGGAAATGTGAGAGGTGGAATTTTCAGAAAAATCATGCTTTGCGTTTTCCAGAAACGTCTAACCTACCATCGACCGTGAGTCACGCTGTATAAAAATGGATGTTTGTTGGTCGGTTGGTTGGTTGGTTGGTAAGTGATAGATAAATTTCTACATCGCTCAACCGATCGTGATGAAACTTGACATGTATGAGTAATTTTTCATAGAGAAGGTTTTTAGGCTATCAGTTTTTCTGTAACTCGCCACTAGATGGCGCTTTAGAATAATTTTCTGAGAGTACTGTTCTATAACGCTGCGCAAGCCTAAGTTTGGTGATTCTGATTCTGTCAAAACGTTGGAATAGCAGAGATACAGCAACATAGTACTAGTTCCTGTATAGAAAGACTACATTCAGTCATATACTTTATTTCAAAACGTAAAATAAACTTTTTCAATATCAAAATTAGGGTAAATATTGTAAAAAAAATATCAAGTCAAGGATCACATTCAATTTTCCATGAAGAAGTAGTATGGCTTTTTACTGCTATTAAGGTTGAACGGTAGTTTGCGATTGCTCTACTGATGATTGTGTTGTTGCCTTTTCCACGGGTTCTGCGATAACTTTCTGGGTGGTAATTTCAGGTTTTTGTGGAGTCTGAATGCTGCTAGGTGAAGGAACAGTTTGCGGAACTGACTGAAGTGATAAACTCTTTCCAGATCTTGCATCACCCTGAGGAACTCCAGCAGATTGTGGTATATGGTCACCAATTGGTTGATATCCATTTTCATCAGCGATGTACCTAGATTCGAAATGAAAATCGTAGAAATTTCAAATACCTTATAGGAGTGAATATAACTGTAGTTTAAACTCAACACCAAACCGTTATTTTCAATGCCTCAATGATCACCAAGTGATCACCAAGTGATCATCTTCAAGAGAAAGGTCAAACTGGGTTTAATTAAACTTCAGTAATATTCATGACTACACCAAAGGTTCCAAAGAATGCGTAACAAGTATCTTACAGGAGTGGTGGAAAGTTCTCTAAATCAATATTATGTAGGGGAAGTTCGACAAACTATTATTCTGAATATTAATTTACGAATATAGCATTTCTCTGACACCACTGTAAAACTCTCCAACAGCTGCTGCAGCAAAAGTGTCGTTGAGAGATTTTTTCATAGCTCAAACTCTAATTTCTATAATTGACCATCCAACTTTAATCTGGAAGATTTGGTGGTGATACAACAAAATTACTTCATAATTTCAAAATAAATCAGACGCAATATTTACTAAAACTAATCTTCAACTACAGAGGTATTGCAGTGCTGTCTTGATTTCTATCTCAACAGACTTGTATCCTTCTGTGATAAGTATAACCTACTCGCAAATAGCCAATATGGATTCCAGTCTGGTTTATCAACCCAAGATGATACTCTTTTCCTGGTCAATCATGAATTATCCAAATTTGAGAGTGGCGAAAAATCAATCAGTATTCTATTTGATTTGTTACGTTCATTTGAAATCTTCAATCATCAACTTCTCCTCGATAAACTTCATGATATTGGGGTTCGCGGCCAAAGTCTAAAATGGATTAAGACTTGTCTGACTGGCAGATCACAATCTGTTAAGGTTAGGTCAAATCTGGAATATATCATTGTGAAAATCGTAACATCTTTACAGGTGTTCCCCAAAGTAGTGTCCTCTTTCTCTTATTCGTCAACGACATCTCTAATATTAATCAACAATATTGTACTGTACAGTTTGCTGATGGCACGTCGTTCTTATTGAGTTTTTCTTCTTGTGAAGGGTTATCTGACCAGGCAGATATTGCAGCTGCTGATATGCTTAATTACTTGCGCCAGAAACGACCTCGTACTAAATAGCAATGAATCTAATACCATTGTTTCCTCGCTTACAGAAATGGATTGTAGTATATTGGTTAGAGCTAATACTAAATCTATTGTGCAGAAAAAATCAATCAAATTCTCAGGGTTGAACATTGACTCCCAATTATCCTGGAATGATCATATTGACTCTATTTCTAAGCTCAGGAAATAGCATGCAAATAAATAAGTGTACGTTTTAACGTAGAATACTTGTATTCATAAGAGAATTATTGGAAAAAATGCTCAAAAAAAATTCAATTTTTTTAATCAATCGATTAATTAATGAATAAAAAAGAAATGAAACTTTCTATGTTTTTCACCACTTTTCTTCGTAACTAACGTTACTGCAGTTACTTATGCAATATATAAGTTTGAAAATGTCCTTACAGGACGAAACTGCAGTCACAAATAAAAGTGGTAAAAAACAAAGAATTTGTTAGTTACAAATAAAAGTGGTAAAAAACATAGAAAGTGTCATTTCTCTTTTCTTCATTATGATTTCCTACCACGTAGTAACGGCTACATCCATCAATTAATTTATTAATTGATCATCATTTCCATCTTCATCACGAACGAGTCTCTGTGATCACCTGTGATGGCGTCATGGCAACAGAATTCAGAGTGGGGACGGAGGGAGAGAGTAATAGGAAGAGAAAAAGTGAAAAAGGAATAGAAACGTGGCGAGGAAAATAGGCATCATGCAGCTGCACGCATTAAACTATCTCGACGAATTTTTGTTATTTCGGCTTGCGGAAATCGTCATATTATATATTTTTCGATAATCTTGAATTATTTTCTTCAAAAAAAAACTTCGCTCGAGAATGTCGAAATGAAATTGTTTTTACAACTTTGCTGTCCTCTCCGTTCTTTACGTCACTCTCAAATTATCAGATTACTATAGTATACACTTTTTAGCATGTGATTAACTCATCCTACCTTAATCTGACGCGCTCGAGAATTTCTGATGATCAATTTTTTTTACTAATCTGACCCTTATCCTTCATGGGCGGCCTTATATATGAGGCTCATATTTGGTGGAGGTACTTAACCGGGTACAAGGTATCCCCCTGTATATTAATCTGCCGCGCTTCAGTAAATCACGAAATCCCCGCTTGGGCTCCCCTATTATGATGGATATTTTCAAACTGATCTGGCTGCTTGACATCACCATTGTTTGCTTGTTTACTATACTATGTGTTTTTTAATTGTTTTATATAATTATCTCCTACATCTACTACTGATTTAATTTTTTTTTATGTATATTCCATATTCTATCACCTGATATTTTTCAACTCCAATCTTTACAGTGTATGTGACGATTTTCATGCTTGTAAAAAATTGTCAGAAAAAATAAAGTATTCTATGGAATTGTATTGTATTGTAAACGCATCACTCTCAATGTTTTGAATTATTGATACGTCCTGTACTGACTAACCTTAGATTAATAACGTTTCCTTCGACGTCGGTGTAGACGACATTTCCTTCGATAACTTGAATCTTCTCAGATGCGTTTCGACCTTCCTTCACGTATCCTTTTTCTTCTACTTTGATGCCATTTGCTGTTTCGTAGCTGTAGTATTAAAAGATAATTATTGAAAATGTGTAAATAACATAACAATCTTCATCAAAATATGTGGGTTTGGACCCGTGGGTTTAGCTACCTATCGGGCACGTCCCCAGGTGGCGGATAGGGGAACGGCCAGGGGACTGGAGGCCCTGTCCGGTACGCCAATGTGGCCTTACGGACGGGGTCGCAGGACTCCTGGTCAGGCGTAAGCGCATTTGCGGCGCCGAGGCCAAAAGGAGAAAGAGAGAAAGATGTAGGAGTGGCAGCAATCATAAGTGCACAAGGGCACTTCCTGTGGCTGGCGCCAAGAGCTCCGCCTTGAATAAAGGCAAGGAACCGGCTGCCCCTGCAGGAAAGCTCCCTCACATTTGCACCTCCACGGAGGAAAACCCCTAGGAGTTTGAAGAAGCCGCGCAACGACAGCGTTGTCGCTGCACCTTCCGAAACCTTCGCGGTGGCCACCGTGAGACACTTCAAGGTTGCCAAAGAGAGTGGCTACACCTGCCAATTTGAGGGAGATGTCTCCCTGATATTGGCAGGTGTAGGCACTTCCTGGAAAGGAGATAATGGACGATGACCTAGGAGGACAACTCCTCGGGAGGATGTACAATGGAGCAGATGTGGTCTAAATGCTGTGAGTCTACATGTACCCTCCCTACTCTACAGATACAAATACAGAAATGAGTTTGGATTCTCAAGAGTAAATGAAACATTTTCAGATAAGTATGAGCATTATGGTAAAGAATCTTTGGTTCAATATGATGTTCATTGTGAATGTATTTTGCCATCATCTATGCATTTCTGCGAAATATGGGTAGCTGCAAGAAGTTGAGTGGAAAGTACAAATCTCAGTTAATGAGAATTGAACTCTGTACTGGCTCAGGTTGAGGCAGTTTCGTTTCCTATTTATATTCTCCTGATTTCAACGATATGAAACCATCAACCCCGGGTATTTTATTAGGCGCTTGCTATCTCCGAATTTAAATAAAACAAAGTGTGTTTGATATATCATCGTAATTTTCCATTAGTTTGAAAGACCTATCGATACCATCATATGTGAAATATAACATAGTTCAAATGTCCACCACGGCTTCTTTGGGTGAAGGGCATCCGAAACGTAGAATTTTTTATGAATCTGGCCAATGAATCAGGCTGAATTTGACCGATGGAATGGGTTATGTTGGCCCTCAGTACCGCTGTGGTTTATGACTTATTTCCCATTTCCATGCACCTACGATTTGAGAAAACCCCACAAGAGAAATTCTTACGGGATCAAATCGCACGATCTCGTTGGCCAATTCACATCACCTCCACGTGAGATGGCCATGCTCCCAAATATCCAATCTGTCATGAACTGGATAGCACGTAGCGCCGTCCTGGTGAAACTACATGTTGTTGGTGTCTAGATCATCTAGTTCAGGCCTAAAGAAGTTGGTATCCATCGACCTCTAGTGCCCGCCGTTGACAGTGATGGCCTGATCAACGTCGTTCCCGAAAAAAAATGGACCAATGACGCTACCAGCCCATAATCAACAACAAATATAGACTTTTTGGGGATGCACTGGACGCTCTTGGATTTCATGTGGATTGGTGTCATCCCAAATTCGATAATTTTCTTTGTTTACGTGCCTATTCATTCAGAAATGGGTCTCATCGCTGAAGATGATTTTTCAATTAGAAAGAAGACTTTGGACTTTCTAAATGCTTGCATGTAAAATAGTCTCAGAAACGACCCCACTCATTTATATCGGAAAGAAGTCAAAGAAACTTTGAAAAATATTCATTGTGTCATGGATGAAACGGAAAAATTCCGATCGTTAATCATGAACCCACAACCACCTAAATTGTATTCGTTGATTAAATCACACAAAGATAATTAACCGATAAGACCGGTAGTTTCTTTCGTCACAGCTCCTCCAGTTAAAATATTCGAAAAACTCATTGCAATTATTCAAAACCACACCAATTTCAAATCAAAATTCAGTTTGAGGAATTCATACCATTTGATCAATGAAATTCAAGATATCACACTCCCAAATAATGCCAAATTGACTTTATTCGATGTAAAGAATCAGTTTCCCAGTATTCCTCCGAATGAAATGATTACCCTGGTGGAGAATCTATTGGACAAAAACTCTATTAATCCAGTAGTGAAAAATAAAATATTAGACTTGCTTACGGTGTGTTTGTCACAGAATTACTTTCAATTCAATGACAAGTTTTACTCATCTTGCAAAGGTTTCATAATGGGAAACCCACTTAGTCCTATTCTGGCAGAGATTTTCATGGACGATTTGGAGAGAAGACACAGTAACTCACCTGGCAAGAAGTTTTGTGTATTGGTATAGATATTTGGATGATATCCTGGTATATTTCACTTTTTGAATTTCATCAATTCTCTCCACCTTTCTATAATATTTACGATGGAGATGGAACAGGACGACTCTAAACATTTTTTAGACTTGACAATAACAAAAGTTAACAGCAAACATTATTTTTATATTTGTCGTAAACCGGCACATAGGTACATATATTATTCATAATCCGTCCACTCACCCATATCAGCATAAGTTAGCAGCTTTCAACAGTATGATCCACAGACTGATAAAGTGCCCTTATCAGAGGCGAATTTCAATTGGGAACTGAATTTAATAAAGCAAATAGCCGTCAAAAATGATTAAGATAGCGGCCTAATACATTCTTTATTATCAAAAAAGTTATACAGTCAAGCCTTGAAAGAAGTTTACCCAATTCGAAGAGAAAAGAGGATAAAAGTTATAGAACCTTAACCTACTGCACAGCAAAGGTGTAAATATTGCTTTCAAAACCAACAACAATCTAGGCATGTACATTAAGAATAACAAAGATAAAAGTTCAGTTTCAGAAAAATCAGGAGTGTATAAATTATCGTGTGGGTCATATCCGATGTTTTATATAGGTCAAGCTGGAAGAGCGTTCAAAGCCCGCATAAAAGAACACAAATATAGTTTCCAGAAAGGAAAAATAAATTCCACACATGCCACTCATTTAATCTTGTAGGGACATGAGTTCAACCATGAATACAAGCCCCTCCATTTCCAGAAGAAAGGTTTGAAACTTAACCTATTGGAGAGTATGGAAATAAAAAAATTCAAAATCTCTCAATATCCTATGAACAATCAAAATCAATTGAATAATTCGCCATTATTGAATCTTTTCATTTGCAGGTGAAAATAATTAGGTATATTTACAGGTATACTTTCGAAAAATTTATTGATATAGTTAATGAATTCATATCTGAACTTTTCAGGTAAATTCATTCATTAGGCAGACGAGTAGGTAATAGGTTAGAGTATAAAATTGTTGTAATTTAGAAGTAACTTTCAGTTTATGCTTGAGAAACCTATTGTATAGCGAAACACGTGTCGCGGTTTTTGTGAAACCCTTCATAGTGAAAATCATACAATAAACTGTATTAATTAGTTTTTTAAATGACAACTAATTTGAAAGATGTACCTTCCACAAGATGACCGTTATCAATTGTCAAAGTTTGGAAGTTCTGTTGGAATGAGATTCCGATGAATAGACTACCTATTCAGACTGCGGTTGATGCAATATGAATAAAATATTTGGGTGCTTTGGTACAAGGAAAATATACTCGAGTTTTTGAAAAGAACGAAGTGAAAAATGATCTAAGGAAAGCTAAAACTCGATGTTTTGAAACAAACTAGATCATTTCTGCAGACATCAGAAGGGCTTACGCTGAATTGTATCCCAAGCGAGGCGAATCTTGAGAATATTATATAAGTTTATATTAGGTTATTCATATAATGACAATACAATCTTAATTGTATGAATTTTGATAGAATGAAATCAACAGAATCAAAAATGAACGAATATAATGTGTATCACATATAGAAGAAATCACAATATCCACAATCTGATATCAAAAATCATCAAATGTATGAATTTGTTTTTTTTTTTATAAAATGGGGAGAGAGTGGGAGGTTTTATTAATAGCAACGAAAACAAGAAATATTTAATATTTCATTCCGAATTTCATACTCTGAAGAGAGTATGAAAATTGTCAGATTCAGGTTTGTCAGGTTTGAAGATTTTATCATCTAATGTCACTTCTCATTGAAAATGAAAACCAAGTGAATTTTTACCTGAATTGAAAACTTCCGTCTGGATTAGCTTCATCGGTTTGGTTTACTATAGGTATAGAAGAAGATTCAGGCCCGTTGGCTACCAGAGGTGAAAGCGGTGCTTTTTCTTGAGGTCTTGTTAGCGCCGGGGCCAAGAGCGCCGATAAAATAACCTGCAAATGAATATACGAATAATATTTCGAAATGATCAAATATTGATTCTCTCTATCTATTTATGAAGCTTGTTTGTTCATTACTTAGTACTCGTTTATTATTTGCAAATGCATTGATGCTGAAAATAGAAATGTCCTCACAAGTTTGTAAACAAAAGTACAATATATGATGAAAAAATCAGAGGACATTTTAGACTTTCCCAATCAATTATGTTGTGAAGGATGACAGATCTTGGAAAAATAGTAGGTATGGGTTTCAATGGAAATTATCGAAGCACATTTGCACTACATGCAATAACAATTACTCTTCGAAGTAATCTCCCTCAGATATAAAACACTTGCGTCAGCGTTTTTCTCAATCCTTGAAGGATTCTGTACATTTTGGTATGTCCTTTGCTGGGTCTTTTCTATCTTGGAAACAGGCAAAAGTCGTAGGGGGCCAAATTTGGTGAATGCGGTGGCTACTGCATTATTTGGGTGTCTTACGAACGGTTTCAGTTAATTTACACATTTCCCCATAGTTTTTTACGATATATGTGAATTTTTCGCGGTTTTCTCGTCGAAATGTCAGTTTGTTCGGAATGTGAGCAAATGTATTCAATCATACCGTGATCTTGAGAACTCATGTCAGTATTAACCACAGAAAAACTAATATTGAAACTTGAAATGTATGTCTTAAATGAACAACTAGAGCAGTGTTTTTCAACCTTTTCCATGACATGACCCCCCCTAGTAAGAAAAAATATTATGCGACCCCCCGACCCTTTTTTCATTTATCTTATTATTTTATGTTACAACATTTTGATGCGTTTCAATAATTAGGATATAAATACATAATAAAGTACGTAAAAACATTCTTTTACATCGAAAAAGTCGGCAATTGATAACTAACGCTATTTACGCGCATAGGTACGAAGCTACGCAAGATATGAATATCGATTGGGAAGAAAAATGCATTGCTATTTGTAGTGACGGAGCAAAAGCTATGACTGGTGTAAAAAGTGGATTAATAGCTAGATTGAAAGAACAAATGCCAAACGCTTCTTGGATGCATTGCTTTCTTCATCGCCAATCTTTTACGGCCAAAACCTTGCCACAGAAATACAGTCAAGTTCTAAATATTATTTATCTTTATAAACTTTATTGATTTTTACTGGGGTAGTTTTTTATCCTTGCGCGACCCCCCTACAGAAGCATCGCGACCCCCAGGGGGCCGCGACCCACACGTTGAAAAACGGTAAACTAGAGTATTCAAAGTTTGGAAGATTTGGATTTCAAAACCATTCATTATTCTCAGACAAAGAACAATCCACTGGAAATAATATGTACTCACCGATAACAAAAACATATCTTTCTCAGGATGTCTCCGGAAGCAAGAAGTTGAACTCAACTGAATTCAGAAGTAATTGATCAACTATTTATACATTCATGTTCTATCGAAAAATTCATAATGTATGTGCTAAATGATTTAGCCTCCTTTTCCAGTCAAAATCAACTGAACAATGTTAGGTAAATATTACATCAATAATCATTAATTGAAAGTTGGGAGAAAATAGCGTAGTAATTTCATTGTCACTGTATTTTTTAATAGTCTCTGCATTATGTGTTGGTCATTTATTTGCGATGAATTCATGCACACACCTTTTCGTGTAGTTATGTTTATGATTCATGGAAGACTTCAGTTGTCACATTTTCTTTGGTGAAAAATCCCAACTAAAAGTTGTATCGAACCTACCTACATATTTCTGAGAAAAAATAAGCAAGTATTCAGAATGGGCCGATGTATTCTCGACTGATGAATCTTAGAGAAACACGACGTGAAACCAGTATTTAGTCCAACAAAAACTATCAGAGAAAGTCTAAGGTTTAACTCGATTGATTCGAAAAACTCTGTGGCAAAATGAACTCCGGTTTTACACCAGGGGGGGTTTAAAAAAACCTAAGGTCAGCTAAGGACCTCAGAAAACCTTTAGCCACACCTGGGTATACCGAACTCCTTGAAGCTGCTACTCGGTCTACATTGGAACCACGAAAAGAAGTATAGTCTCTCTGAATACAAGAGATAATTTACCGAAACTACGCCTATTTTAACGAGGTAAATTTTTTGGGTATGTTATTCGATTCAAAGCTGAACTGGAAACAACATATCCATTACCTCAAAATGTCATGATGACAATCTACAGATCCCTAATCAGATCAAAGTTAGACTACGGATCAATAGTATATAATTCAGCGAAGGAATCGACTCTGAAACAACTGGATACTGTTCACAATAATGCTATCAGATTTGCCTTTGGGGCATTTTGCATAAGTCCAACCGAAAGCTTACAATCAATAAATCAATCAATCCAAAATGTACTTTATTGTCAAAGAAAGAAATTCTTATTAACAAAGCTTGAATAAAAAATAGTCAATTTACAGTAACAATGGAACAATATAGATTCTAATGCTACATATAGACAAGACATAAGATTCTACAAGTTAAGAATTGATTTACATGTATAGATAAAATAAATAAATCAGTCGGTTCGACCTCAAGGGTTCAGGTACTCAAAATTTGTCTTAAAGATATTTTTCAAAGATATAATACTTATGCTTTATTATGTAAAACTTTTTCACGCGTTTTCGGAATGTTTTCGACTCTATCATACTTTTCATTTCAAATAGTAGATGATTGAATATCTTCCGACTCTCAAATATTATGGAATTTTTTGTTAATGTTGAAGTTGGCTTTGACAGAGGTATATTGGTCCAAACGCTTGGCTGTACATATATATCTCATCGCCTTTTTTTGTAGAACAAACACTGATTTCATCAACTGCCTGCTACATAAACCCCAGGAAGCGATACCATACCTCAGATGAGACTCGACTAATGAAAAGTAAGATGTTTTTCTGCTACTATCCCAACTCCTTGGTGAGGACCCTGATAGCGTAGCAGCCAGATGCAAGTTTTTTGTTGAGATGTTTTACGTGTTCATACAACTTCAGGGTATTATCAATCCATAATCCCAAGAATTGGGTGCACCTCTTATTTTCGATGACATGCTTCTGGATGCTTAGGTTTCCAGAAACAAATTTAAACGAAATTATGTTAGTTTTATTCACATTAAAACATAAAGAACTGGAATCCACACCAAAATTTTACTTTCTCTAAATCAGTTTCCATTATATTTCTCAGAGAGTCTGTAACATTTCCATGCCACAGTAAAGTTGTATCGTCTGCAAACATTTCTGATAAATTTTCCTTGTATGTCGATATTAGATAGGTCATTCACATAGATAAGGAACAAAATGGGACCGAGCACTGATCCTTGGGGGACTCCACAGGTGATTTTCCAATGACCAGAATGTTTGAAATCTATCAGGAAGATAAGATCGAAACCAACTGAGGGTTGTCCCTTTGATCCCATAAAGGAACAATTTTCCCAACAGCATTCTATGATCACCGCAATCGAAGGCCTTAGAAAAGTCGCAAAATACTGCCGCAGCTACTTCACCTTCATCGAGCCCTACATATAACTCTTCTAGGAAGACAAAGATAGCATCATTTGTACTTTTGGATCTTTGAAACCCAAACTGTGAAGATATTAGTGAAATACGACGGAAACTGGGTGGATCATTCAGTTCACCACTATAGTAGTTTACATACAGTACATCCGGAAATACACCAATTGAAAATGTTACATAAATGATTCTGCCAGGGCAGAAATGGAATGATCTGGCATTTTTTCTGATGAATTTACTGATTTTTCATCGATTCCATGCGTTTTTTTATTTTTCAGTTCCGTAAATGTTTCCTCAATTTCTTCAATATTCGTATGATCTAAAATGAATTCTTCTGAAATCATTACGTTACTCAGGTAGTCTAAAGGGTTTTTTGTATGGATATGTTGAGTTTAAGTTTTTCTGCTGTTGTACACATTGAGGTTATCAGGTTTGATCAATTTGCACTGAAAGCTTGTTTGTTTTGCCTCTCAGATCATTGAAAATAGCCCAGTTCTCTTTAGATTTATTTGACGCTTTGGAAAGTCTCTCATTATAATATTTCTCTTCTGCACATATTATAATTCTTCTATAGATCTTTCGGTACTCATTGAAAAAGCTGTGGAAGAAATCACTTGTAGTGTATTTCCCAATCATGTGTAGGTCCCTCATATTACTTAAAGAGGTTCTGATTCCTTTGGTTAACCAAGGCTGTACGAAGACCTCAGTCAAAATATCATGAAATACACTAAGGAGTTCAAGAGAGTTCAAAGTACCAAACCAGTTAACTCCATTGGCATTAAGTTGGAACTTGGAGAAGTTTTTTTTATATAAAGCCTGACATACCTCTGCCTCTTACCATTTCCCCTTTTTTTATATCCTAGTGAAAAAATGTGTGACAACAGCTTCATGATCCGAGAGTGACAAAGGTATAACGTGAGATTGAGTACCCTCTTCATTAAAACTAAGGCAAACATAATCTATCAGGCGAACCAGCTTCAGCAACCCGAAGCCAGTTTTTAACCCTCACCTATTCTGTTTGCATTACAGCCAACTCTGAAAACCCAGTATACCATAATGTGATTGCCCATAGATTTTCGCCAACATATGCTGAGAAGAAAAGAGCTGACCTTCCTTTGTACAAGAAACAAAATTTGAACCTCCATCACTCAAAAACCTCCGACCCGAATATCCCCAACCCCACACCATGGACTACCCAAAAAATTCTCATTGATACAAACCGTAACCAGTTCAAAAAGAGATACATTAACTGCGAAGTCACCAAATGTAATTTATATGAAATGATTCATTCAAAATATATGGAGTTAGAAACAATTTACACGGACGCATCCAAATCAGATTCTTGCCCTGGAAGATCTTCCTCTTGAAGATGAATACTAGGTGATCGAAACACGTGTCGAGGTGTTGAAATAATGGTTTGGTGTTGGGATAAGACTCCAGTGATATGCATTATCATGAATTGAAGAACGATAGTTCATCTCCTTTGCTGATGTAACGTAGATCGAAAAAGAAAAGTGTCTCAGTACTGGTATATGGGAGAGGTTCCAGTGTCACCTTTCATCGAATACTCTTATCATCCAGAAATATAGAAAGACTTAGTCTTAGCCTTAGACTCAGTCAGGATCTCAATATATGCTTCTGAATTCTTCTATCTCTTCTTTACTGAAGAAAATTTTACTACTCTTCTGAATGTATAAATTGTACTGTGTAAATTGTTTGGTGTTGGGAAAAAACTTCGATAATATCATTATATAAGGATTATATATCCTTAGAATAGCCCAAGGTATAGCCCAAGGGTTAATAGCTGAGATAAAAATTTTTTGACTGTGTATTATTGTTTACTGATGTATCCCAACATTACATGAATTTTTTCATTCCTCAATATTCACATTTAATATGTTTAAATAATTTTTTTTGTTTTTATGTCAGAGTGACCATAGGGGCGCGGAAGCCAGACTACCCGCTTTTGGCTCTATTTTCAGGGCTCTGTAAAAGTTATAAATGATCGAGATACAGTTTCGGGAGTTAGGACTTTTTTTACGCAAATTCATTGAGCTTTTCAAATCTTTTTTCAAATTTCCAAAATTTTGAAAATTTTCCGAGATATTAAGGAAAAACTAAAGCTCCATTTTTTTCACTTAATTGTTAATAACTTTTGTAATTTTTATCGGCGCGTTTTCAGACCTTTCCTTAATCTTTCTAGGCAAAAATACGAATCGAATGACACCTTGGTCGTAATTTTTGGACAGGGCTGAAAAATGTTACAAAAAAAAGTACATGTGAACTAGATTATCCTTCATGCGGGCTTTGAACGTTCTTCCAGTTTGACCTATAGAAAACATCAGACATGACCCACATGATGATTTATACACTCCCGATTTTTTTTAAACTGAACTTTCATATCTGTTATTCTTAATGTGCATGCCTAAGTTGTTGTTGGTTTTGAAAGCAATATTTACACCTTTAATGTGCAGAAAATTTGAAATATTTGTAGTGGGTTGGCCCAAGTAGCCTAATGTTTATAACTATATCCAATTCTTTTCGAATTGGGTTAACTTCTTTCAAAGCTTGGCTGTATAACTTTTTTGATAATAAAGAATGTATTAAACTGCTATCGTAATCACTGTTGACGGCTAATTGTTTTATTATGCTCAGTTGTTTATCGAATTTCGCCTCTGAAAAAGGCACATTTATCAGTATGTGGATCATATTGCTGAAAGCTGCTATTTTGTTATTATTATTTTTTGTTAACTTTTGTTATTACCAAGTCCAAAAAAATCATTAAATATTTGATGTTTCCAATTCATTTTTTCAGTTTGTTGGCAAAATTCATGAATTCGACAAGTTACTGACCAATTGGCCTATTCAGTAACATAGTCCCTAACTTTGCGGGGTTAACTTTTCAGTTTACCCTTCATCATACTTCAGCGGATCCTCTATTGATTTTGCTTCGTTCATTTTCCAGATTGTGAAAGGTTATAAATCCAAAAAACAGTAGAAAGTATAGGGTTCTTCATTCGAAGAATATCAAAACAAGTTGTATCCAATTAGACAAAATATTGACTTGCAGATTGAAAGCATTTATTATCAGATAAACATATAACAATATATAATTGACAAACCAACAGAAATATATCGCATTTAACACTTTCCGTGACTCTAATTCTATCTCTCTGGTACATTGCCATGGGCTGAGTCGTTTAACATTATTTTTGCCGATCACAAGTATTGCTGTAGTTATCGAACGTTGATTTTAATATATCACAGAAAAGTGAATTTGAAATATACAGTCAACATTGTTTCAGCGATGAGCAGAAGTCGTCTTTGGAGCGATTAACTTATCGTTTTCCTGCCCTCTCAGTGGTAGAAGGCTGAGACGCTATCCAATCCAACGCCCTCTGGATATTTGGTGGAATGGGGGGAGGTGTGGGAAGATGAGCCCCTTGTGGTTGGAATCCGTTATCGTCATCCGCAGTGTACGTTAGAGAAATTTGATTTCCTTCCTTATCTGTATAGGAGAACGCACCTTGGGCCACGATCACTTCGGGATTCTCGGCGTCGTTAGTTTTTTTTAAGGTTCCGGTTTCATCGGCTTTGATACCATTGTCCGCTTCATAACTGTAACAAAGTTGGTCGATTTTGTCAAATAATCAACTCATTCCATCATTATAGGCTAGTTATTTATAGATAATAATAATGAATACATGAAAAATGGAAACTAAAACTTTATATGTTATTATACCACTTTTTTTTCAAAAAACCGAAAGTAATTCATCAAAGAAGGAAGTAATACAAATAATGAAATTATGAAACAACAAAAATTCATTGGCGCTCCGGGGCGACTTCATTGATTTCAGTGGCGTATTTGCTTTTTCAGCTGCAGGAAAACCCGGAAAAACCTGCAGCACCACATCATCTGAAGATCTTGATCTTGTATTTGTAACTAACGTTACTGTAGACATATTTATGAAGAGCTTGGTGGCTACTATAGTAAATTCCTACCTGGGTAAAAAACACTGATAATGTAGACGATGTTCTTGTTCGTTTCAGAAATACTACAAGGGGGGCCTCAAAAGTACCCGGCTCAACAAAGAAAACACAGAAATTTTGAAAAAATAAAATGTATTCTTCAATATAATCTCCTTCCAGATCTACACACTTTCTACAGCGATGTTCAATAAGTTCGATACCTTTTTTATAATCAGAGCCATCAACTGCCGACATCACTTCTTCATTGTTGGAAAATCTTTGACCTCGGAACCATATTTTCAAGTTTGGGAACAGACAATAATCCTTGGGGGCGAAAGTTGGCGAATAGGGTGAACGAGGAAGCAATTTAAACTTTAATTCGTCAATTTTGGTAATTGCGATTATGGATTTGTGGGCTAGTGCATTGTTTAATTGAAACAACACTTTTTTCTTAGCCAAATGCGGCCCGTTCCTGCTCCTAGATCCAGGATAACTGCTGATAAAGATTGCCGGAATACTGGATCCCATATCGGACGAGTAGAAATAAGTAAATTGTTGGTTTCTTGATGGTTCTTAGAGAAAGAATTAGGATCAGGAGTTGTAAGCATTCTTTGTTTCAATTCAAAAATGAGTTTTCTCAACTGCAACTCCGCTTCGTGCAGGAGGCCGAACTCAAGCTTATTTCGGAATTGACCCAATATTCAAAATTTTTGAAGCTAGGTGTGACAGGTCCTTGAATAGCTGGCTAGAATATCAGAGCACCTATATCCTAGATAACTGCCGATAAATATTACCGGAATCCTTGATCGCATATTAAACGAGTAAAAAAGAGTAAATCGTTGGTTTCCTGATTGTTTTTAGAGATAGGATTACGAACAGGAGTTGTGAGGTCCTTGAACAGCTGGCTGGAATATCGGAGAACCATATCCTAGATAACTGCTGATAAATATTGCCGGAATCCTAGACTGTATATCAGAGGAGTAAAAGAAAGAAAATCCCATTGGTACAGTTAATTGTATGATTTTCACTATGTTCGCGTCTCCAATCAGGCGGATGGCTCTTTTCTGTATGGAATCCAGCAACTTCAGGGTGTGTATGGGGGTAGAGCTCCATACATGAGAACAATACTCCACAGAAATTCTGATCTGAGCATTAAGATATGCTGCCGGTGTAGATGTGCCTCCGTAACCGATGTCCTGGAATCTAAATGGAATGACGAAACAAGTGTCCTGTCGTCAGCAGGGCAATATATTGGATTCTTGTTTTTTTCCAATAAGTCGTTGATATACAATAAAAAAAAACAAAAAAACGTATTGTTCTTAGTTACTATTTAGTAACAGGTTAGGTAATTTCTGAAGGGCTCGGTAACAGACGCTCAAGAGGCAGATTGCACGGCAGCTCAGTCGGGTATAGAGTGGATTGAACTCAAACACTATCTATACCGGATAGAGAAAAATTAAAAATATATGTAGGTCGCCACCAACTTCAAAAAAAAATGAACGAGTCTGAGTTGGGGGACTCCCACTAGCTAGATATGGTTCTGTTTCCCAGAGCCAACATAAGTTAAATAACTGCAAAGAGCTCTTGGATCTTTTCTTATTATTTGTATCTCTAAATTGGACGAAATAATTATAGACCAATTTCATGGAACAAAAATGAACAAGATTATATTACTAGTCCCCAAACACGTTTCTTTAGGATCTTATTTAGACTTAAATAACTCAAATTTTACCAACTGTTGTTGCCTCAACGTGATAACGTTGAGTGTACACTTTTGATATTTTAAAGGCCGGAGGCTCTTTAAGTAAAAAAAACGAAAGTAATAATTGTATATATACTAAATATTTGCTCTCCAGCCGAAAAAGAAAACTAATAAACTCATGCAGCTCATCTGAATAATCGATGACGAGTATGGTTTGGGAGTCCAATTGAAACCCAATAATCGAACGATCACTGAATGGTCACGGTAATATCTGGGGTCATAGGTACTAGGACCAGGACGAAAACTGAGACTAAGAATAGAAGTAAAACTTTAAAAAAATATTCCCTGTTATAATTATCTTTAGCCTCACCGGCTTTCTTATTTTCCCTTACCTCTTTGGTTGGTTGAGGGTAGTATTGATTGATGACGTTGTTATCGGCTTACGTAAATCCTTCGTAACGAAGAGCAAACTATTCGCTGAGGTCACAACAAAGTGACGAAACGATAGGCAATTAATCGCTTGAAAGCAGAAGTGCAGTAATCCACAATTTTGTGAGAATTTTTAATTTGGAACACGACAGAAAAATTCCTACACCTCAGCACTGCTACTTGGAAAAATTCGACAAGTTTCATTTTATTTTTATCTCTTGAAGAAAAAAGGTTTTTTTTTCTTCTCCGTACCGAGAACTAATAAATGAAATGTACTTCGGCAACCCGTGATTCTTTATGAATATGGCAATCTGTCCACCAAGAATATGCAACCCTTTTAGCATCCGAGTTAAAGGAACTGTGGCTACGATACGGACAATTATGGACAAATAAGTGCGTTAAATGAATACCTAAAAAAAACTAAAACTGAAACCGAATACAAAAAATTAAATGTGTTTTGAACCGTTACAAGGGTTGGAGACAATGTGGATCCCTGAGAAACACCAGCGTTGATGGTGGAAGTATTCGGAGTAATCCATCCACATTCTGCTGCTGAAGAGCCATACACAAAAATGATTCTACAAGCCATAGCATCAAAGTTTGGCCAGCAAACCCAAACAGAGGAAACGGATGAGAAGTATAGAACCTTCAGGATTTTTTTATCTTTGGCTTTTTGATATTTTTTTATTTAAACAAATAGATGAACCTTATTCATTGTTTCATTGTAGTGCTTCTTGTTTAGGTGCGAATGAGTTAATCTGCAGTGACAAGTAATGAAAATGGAGTATAGTATTTCTGTAATTTACTGAAATATTGCGTCTTATTGCGTCTTAACGAGACCTGTTTATTAGAAGACCCCTTTTCAATTCTTTTAACCGACTTCCTATAAAAATCGTGCCCCTGTCTTCGCAAACTCAGGAACTAGTAATTTCCACCTGGACAACACTACTTTTTTCTTAATGGTTAAGAAAATAGCAAGAGTATGTTATAAAGACAATATGCAATATGCTCAATCGTATCTCAATTTCATATATAGCCAAGACTCTTAACCGAAGTCTACACGAAACTTCTTGAAATATACACGAACAAAAATGTATATTTAAATTCATTTAAGTTTTTTGTATCTGAGAGCAATAATTCATTGTGTATTCATTAGTATTATGATAACCACGGGTGCATGAAGGCGGAAACTTGTACATTAAAGATGAGCATTGAATCTGATACTATAATAATATATTGTATATGTTGAATAAAGATGGAATCATGACTGAAGATTAACGTCGAACGAGGTGAGGTCGACTTTCTCTGATTAGTTGATTATGCTGAAGGACAACAATATTTTCTTCGTTGAGCTGTATAGAAATGACCAAATGCAAGACCTTTGATGTCGCCATCATGAAAATTATCAATAATATTTTCAATTAACTGATTCGCTCATGATTCTTCAATTCCTTGTAATTATTGTGGTTGTTTTTCTTGAATTAGTATAATTATGTTATTTACATCAATTGCTCAGGTGGTTATTATTAGACATGTATTCATTGAAAAGTATGTTAGAAGATTCTTTCACGAAATGCCTTTTTTGAGGTTTCCGGGTTCTGTATTTTTGACCCTCACAAGAATTATTTCCACAACGTTTCGGAAAGTCTCATTTGCCATTTCCTGGTTATACCGGGAGTTTAGAACTGGACTGATTCACTCAAACTATGTTTCCTTATTCATAAGTGACTTTGTGCAGTCTGTTTGATGGATAAGATGGATCTTCACTGATAATTTGTGTTCATCCTTGCGTATGTTGATTCGACTGTTGGTCTGGCCGATGTAAGTCTTGTCACAACCTTGACATGGTTCTTCGTAAACTTCTTGGGGATTCAGTGGCATCTGATCCTTTGGATCACGGACCATGGATCCTATTGTCCATTCTAGTAAGAATGAGGTTGCTATATTGTGTTGGCGAGGAATTCTAATGGTTTTGTCTGTGATTCTTCGAAATATGGTAGTATGGTTGTTATGACCGATGTATATCGGGCTATCTGCTGTTTCTGTGTGAGCTTGAAAGCCGATTTTATGATTTCCTCTGAGTCATTCATTCGTAGAGTTGTCTCGATGATATTCAACTCTTGTTGTCTGTGTTCGTAGTGTGTCAGCCTCCTTGAAAGTGTAATTAGTATTTCTGCCACCAAGTGAATTTGTTTTGGATGGTGATGTTAATGTGCGTTCAGGTATCTGTTGGTGCTTTGCTTTCCTATATACCGTGTGGTTTAGTGTACCATCAGTCTTTTTCATGATCAACAGATCGACAAATGCGAGCTGGTTACCTTCTTCAACTTCTTTCGTGGATTTGATCTGTGGATGAATTCCATTCAAGTGATAGAAAAACCTTAGAAGTTCTTGGTGCCCATGTGACCGCGAATGTCATCAACATATTTCAGCCCGAGTTTAGGTTTCAAGTGCGACGTTGCTACTGCTTTGCTTTCGATTCCTTCCATGAAGAGATTGGCAATAATGAGTGATAATGGCGAACCCATTGGTGTCCCCTCAATTTATCTATATCGCTGATCATTATAGATGAAAAATGTGTTTTTGATGCAATGTTCAGCCAGGTTGATGATATGTTCTTCTGGTTCAAATTTCTTTCTGATTATTCCTAGTAACTCTCCGGTGGGTACCTGGGTAAATGAAGAGGTTACATTGAAGGTGACAAGGATATCTTCTGGACTAACGGTTTGTGCTTTCAGCATATCTATGAAATTATCGGCATTGCGTACTAGATGATGATGACTAGAGATGACTAGAGTCATCAATATAAGGCAGCCAACATAAGATTTTACGGCTGCTTGCTTTTAGGTACGTTCGAAATTTTCCATGAGAAAGTTCGTCACCACCGGGCACTTGCAGACCACGGCCGCCAAAAAAACTACAAAATAGCTTCGACAGAGGCCCTATCTATTGCTTAGTTCATTGTTTAAATGGTTTGAATGGTGAATAGCAATAAACATTGACTCCTCTTTCGCGAATTTACAAATACATATATTATTCTTATACTCACCTCCATTTGTAACCACCATCAGGTGAAATTTCATTGGTCTGGCTGATTATTTTGATTTCTGGTCCAGGTGCTCCTTGGGGTGCACTTTGTGCGAGAATGACACTCATACATAGTATACTTATCTGCAATGAATATAGCATTAAACATTGACTATAATGTATATGTGATCTCTAATGAAGTTGCTTACATGAAAGTATCCATGATGATAATTAAACGCGATTCTTTAAGATTGTCTCTTCGTCAGTAGAAATTAATAATATAGCATATGAGACTAGTAACTCCTTAGGTAGACATATCAAGAAAAAGATAATAGATCAGCTGTCTACAAACTAACAATAATTGTATGTGGGGAGGACTTCAAGAGCTTTTAAACGAGAATTCCAGAGTATAGAAGGGGCTTTGATCTGAAGAAGATAAATGATGGAATCGGCCGATATTTGATGAAAATCCGTAACTAACGTATTCTAAAAACACTTTATTGTGTGTACCTGTTTTTTTACCTAAGTTTGTAATGGATTCAATTACCTGAGCTTATGTTCCATTTTCCACATTTGAAAAAATATTCAGTAACGGAGAGTTATTTAATTCTAATTGATAATTCAGTAAATTATGATATAAAAAGGAAAGAATATATAGAAATTGATCGTCCAAAAGTGATTTATGAATATCATCAACACATGGGTGGTGTCGATTTACTTGACAGTTACATTGGTCGCTACAAAATAACCATTCGTTCTAAAAGGTGGTACCTGCGCATATTTTTCCATTTAGTGGATGTGGCGATAATAAATGATTTCCTTCTCAATAAAAGATCATTACACCAAAAGGGAGAAAAATTATCTGGAATTCAGAACCTATGATAATTTCGGCTTGAAGTTGCAGAATGCTTGTGTCTAATGGGTACAAATTCCTCGAGAAAAAGAGGAAGACCTACTGCTAGTTTAGAAGCCGTGTTATGCGCTAAACGTCATAAGGGTCCAGCTGTCCATATTACTCCAAAAAATGTAAGACTTGATGAAAGTTCGCATTGGATAAAATATAATACAAACCGCCAAAGATGCAAGCTACCACAATGTAAAGGATACACACATTTTAAATGTGAAAAATGTGGTGTTCATTTATGCCTGACAAAAGATAGGAATTGTTTCAGGTCATTTCACGAATGATGAAAACTCCGTATATGGAAGGTCAACTTCGAACAAATATATAAGAGATTTCCATGGTGTTGCAAATCTGCAACAAACAGTTGTTTTGAAAAAAACATAATAAAGAGTCGACTCAAATTTTTCTCCTTATTTTTTCATCAACCTACATCATATCACTTATTTTGATATATTTTTTTTGTCGGGAAAGAAAAAATCATGAAACGAAGGGTTATAAACCCATTGACGCCATTATGTATGGAATATAACTTCGTTCAGAAGCTCGCCACGGCTTCTTCGGGTGAAGCGCATCCGAAACGTACAATTTTTCATGAGGCTGGCGCACAAATCAGGCTGAATTTGACCGATAACATGGGTTATGTTTGCTTTGAGGATCGCTGTGTTTGTGGCTCATTCACATACACTTGCGACTCAAGAAAACTTCACAAGAAAAAGTCTATAGGGGTCAAATCTTACGATCTCAGTGGCCAGTTCACATCACCTAGACGTGAGATGAGCCATGACCAGGCTAGAAGAAGTTGGTAATCATCAACGGTAGTGCTCGCCGTTCACAGTGATGGCCTGGCCAATGTCGTTTTGAAAGAAATATGGCCCGTTTAAGCCGCCAGCCCAAAAATCACACCAAACATTGACTTCTTCAGGATGCATTGGACGCCCATGGATCTCACATGGATTAGTATGCTCCCAAATTTTACAATTTCGTTTGTTCACGTTCCCATTGATCTAGAAATGTATCTCACCGCTGAATATGATTTATACCCTAGTGACGATGGGAGATTGTTTCCCCATAAATTCTCCCATATTCCTTGAGATACCCCCATAATTTCCCATCAGAAGATACAGAGAAACATGAACAAGTTATAGAATTCAAAACGCCTGCCATATCCAATTTAGTTTTAGGCAGTTTAGCTTCGAATTCCTTATCCAACGGATCCAATGAAGGGGTGAATCATCGATTCCGTGATTACTCACAAGAAGACAGCAGTGGCGATCAGAGATACATTCTTCAGTCAAAACTCTTGGGTTTGATGGGTTGAAAAATATTGTAAACACCTGTTTCATGAACAGTATAATTCAATATTCATCAAACACGAGATAGTTGCTGGAATATTTAAAATCGGATACATACATGGAACATATCAATACTAGTATTTCTAGTATGAAAGGTGCTTTAATCGAAGCGTTCGCAGAAGTTATCAAGGAATTGTGGTGAGAAGTTTCATCTGATAGAGTAATAAACACTGCCTACTTTAAAAGTCAGATTCAAAAATTTGCCCCTCGATTCATGGGATCTTCCCATCAAGACGGCCAGGAATTCCTTCGATATCTTTTAGAAGGTTTACATTAGGACCTCAATGGAATTACTGAGAAACCTAAACCGAACTTAACGGAGATTGACGAAAAATTGAGCGACAGCGAAGTAGTGCAAGAGTCCTGAGATACTTGAACACGAACAACTCTAAGATTATAGACAATTTTGTTGGTTGATTAAAATCTACTATGAAGTGCACACACTTGTCTCACTCTATACCACAAAGAACTGGCAAATTGTCTTTGTCACAATGCTTGGATTTCTTCACAAAAGAGGAAACCCTGGATGGAGATGAAAAACCATCTGTTCGAGGTGCAAGGAAAGAAGAAAATGCACAAAGTCCCTATCAATTCATAAATTTCCCCGAATTTTAGTAATTCTTTTAAAAATATTCTCTCCAACGAAAAGATTCAGAGGCAAAATTAAATGTTGTCATTCAGTTTTCTTTAGAAGATTTAGATATGAGCAATTATGCAGCAGACAATGTGGCTCTTTGTCGTTACAATCTATATGCACTTTCGAATCACAGTGGGACTACTTACAACGGACATTACACAGGATATTGCAGACACCCTTATTGTGGCACGTGGAAGGAATACAACGATTCACACTTCTCCCCAATTTCACCAAAATCGCTCATGAGTCATATGTCCTCTTTTATGAACAGGAGGGAACAAAGCAGCACTTTTGAGGTGTTTTTTTCCTTGTCTCTTTTAATAAGCTAAACTCTGTTAATTGATTTGTATTTCATGATTCTTCTGATAATTAGATATTAGACAGAACAGCAAAAAAAATTAGAGTCAGCCCATTCAGCGAACACACGTTGTTGTCGTTTAGTTTCTGTTCCTGGGTTAGTTAAATTATGTACAGGTGCAGGCTCAAGTCACGACACAAAATTTGTGTGCGCCAGGAAATCGACTGCTTCGGATTCTCCTGCACACTCTCACAGATGTAGCTTTAAAAAGATGACCGTTATCAACTGTCAAAGTTCGAAATCCATGTTAGAAGACGCATTTTTAAACAGTTGAGCTAGATACCTACTACTGTTGTAGGTATGTAAGAATTATAGCCCAGTGGAATAAACTAGGGTGTTTGCGAAATGAGTCTCGAAATGAAAAATGTTTGTGAGAATTCTTCAATTATCATCATGGACATTGTTAATAATTTTCATCAAGTAACTGGTCACTCAATTCATAATTACATATAAGTGTATATCATCTGCTGCAAAATAATCGGTGTTACATTTTATGTGATATGTGGAAAACTACTGACACCGTTTCCACAGTAAGATTTTTACTACGGAGGTTGACAAAACTGCAACACTTATTTCGCTATAAAATCAATTCATCAAGTATTAATGTTTATTCCTTCTTGAGGGAGCTATTATGAAGCGAAACACATCTCACGGTTTTGTGAATCTTCATAAGAATAAAAATCATACGTATTGAAATGATCAATCCTGCTGGAGAAAGCTTTTCTATATCAAAATTAGTATCGCAATTTTATAAATCTCATAAATGTTGAGTTTACAGTAAACTGTACTGATCAGTTTCAATAAAGATTTTTATCAAGTCAATGATTTGTTGAAAACAACGTCTCATTGAAAACCTGAAATTTTATAAGCAGATATTTCACAACATATTTTCTCACTGTTTTTTGATTTTTGTATGATCTGCTGATGATAATTATGTACAATTATGTATTGATAGGCCTTTCAAATGAATACAAAATTTTGATGATATCTCAAACACACTTTGTTGTATTTGAACTCAAAGATGGATAGCGCTTAATGAAAGACCCTATATTATGAGATGATATGGTGAAAAATGTATGCTGGATAAGGTTTCCATGGCCAAAAAATTGGGAACCCCTGTAGTATAGACACGTCCGAAGAAGCTGTAGTATAGCAAAACACGTGTTGTGTTTTTGTAAAATAGTTTACTGAAAATCTCACATTGAAGTATTTCTTGAAAATATACAATATTAGGCGAGAAACTAACTTTTGAATAAATTCTGATTTCAGCAACATCTGCAACGTTGCACGTTGACCCGGACGATACGAAAGAAACGGAAGTAATTTTTCTCTGAAATTATGGAATGATAGAGATGATGGATAATAATGTTCAGAATACCAAAATATTTCCTTAGTCGATTTCATCCTCTATTACGTAGTTGCAGATAAACTTTACTTTCACAATTGAAGGAAATTGAAGAGTTGTGTGTCAAAATTGTTAATTCATAGTGTCCAGTTATTAAACAGTCATTAACTTCTTTCATGTACTCGTTACATACAACTTTAAAAACTTTCTTCATAATATATTTTGAACCGGTTAGCATTTTGTGTGATTGTAATGTTCGATAACGATCTATATAAAATCGAATTGAATGAAACAAGACGAGAATGATTGCCAATGAACCTTACTCTAACAGACGTAAACTGAAAAAATCAGCGTATATTCTCATATCTGGAGAGAAATATATTTCAAACCATCCCTTAGAAATGGATCGTACTTGGCTCCTCGTCTTGAAAAAATATGGATAGTGATGATATAAAGATGAAGATGGATACTATTCTAATCATTACCAGTTTTATTTCAATTTAAGAGCCACCGGTAGAGAGCTGTTTCAGGATGTTGGGTATCATCAGTACTGGACAGGTGGTCTTCGATTGAAGACAAAATTTGAAGTACCATTAAAAGAACTTGATGAAAATACCGTGACGACTTATGAGTGGAATCACCTATTGTTATGACACGCAAGTTAGCTAGCCAAATTTTTATGTTGTCGTTGGTGGTTTGACCAATCAACTTGTAAGTGTGCTAGAAAAAATTTGGAAACTTTTCTGGAATGCCATTGGAAAATAAAGAGGTATAGCGGTATACCTCTTACGCCGTAAGAGGTATACCATTGAACTGGAGTTCATCCTTTTCAACAAAGAGGAAATCAAAATGGGCGTGTCGCAGGGATCAATCTTGGGTCCAATTCTATTCATTTTGAATGCGAACCATCGTGATGCGATTATTGATACTGCTGATTATACTGCTTATGCAGACGACTTTTCATTATTTCTGTCCGCTACTGATAATGAATACCTACGAACGAATCGTATTGAAACACCATGCAGTTTTATCTTTTTTCAATAACATTGTTAAATTGTGTCAAATTCGGATATTCGTAGTTAAGGAATAAGAAAAATCTGCTCCTGTCAATTTTGGAAGAATTGAAGTACCTATATAAATACATTGGCTCCGTACAAACATGAGTTGAAGTCTTTGATTGAAAAATGTTTTTATAGTACCTATATGTGATTTTATAAAAAATCATACCCTGTGATTGTATGTGTCGCAAATTTTAGTGTTAGTGTATCTTAACCTAGTTTCGTGTAAAATTTATTTCAATGTACCTATTCAATCATCTATTAATTGACAATTCCAATACATGTGCCATGTCGAAAAATGGAAATGAATGTATATTTATTGATTGATTTATTGATTGTGTCTTTTGTACCGGTTATGTTTTGAAAAGCCAAGTTTTTTTATAATAATTGATAAGAAACTGAACCCCACCAAAGTGGGGATCACAGACGTCCATTTTCTGCTCTGTAATTCGCTCATATGGAAAATGATCCTCTACATAATTTCAAAATTTGTAGAGTATCAGTATCATGAATATTATTTCGCAGAACATGTTGAAGAGAAAATTCTCTTTCTATCTATCTCTCTAGTAAATCATCCCATTCATTTAAATGGAATGAATCACTAGAAAGATCTCATTTTTATGGACTGGAAAAAATATGAATTGATGTACCAACCAAGGATTACAACATAATAAAATTTTGACGGTGTATCTTTGGCTAACCAAATCTGACTGAGGTTCTATAACTTAGCACCATGAAATTATTTATCATAATAAATTCGTTCTCCTTCATCAGAAAAACTTTTAGGTAACACTGTAATCCTCTAAATGAAAGATTACGAACCTATTTATTGTCACTATATTGATTTCTGATTTCACAAGGAAGAAGAAACCTTTGGACAGAAAAATTATTGAATTCTTTGGAAGATATGTATATTAAAATTCTAGCAGTTCCTTGAATGAAAATGGAAAAAAATCCGATCGCTCAAAGAAAAAAGACTATCGTTTCGTTCGCTAATGTGTCGTATCCCACTACTAATTAATAGGGTTGGTAGCCAATAATTTTTCAATAAACTCACCCGTAACCAGTCCATTTTTGATCACTAATTGTATAATCAACATATCACCGTACAAAGCGACTTCTAGTATTTATAGTGCCATATATACCTATGTGATTTTACTTTGATCACTTCCCCCTACAAATGCTTCTTCAAGATGGTATTACAACATTTGCAAATGGCATCATCATGCAATGTCTCCCACATTAAAGTAACAATTGTTATTGTTCACTCCCAGCATGCAATATTTTGTTGTACCGATGCATGTGTATGTATTTTTTATCACCATGTGAGGAGATATATCTTTATTCCATTCAGCGCTATTCCATTATCATTTCAACATTATTGTTATGGTAATAACTTAGAAAATGTCAGGCATTTGAACATTTTTACGACTCTGAATAAATCAAAGTTTTTTCTTTGGTGTAACTCAATGTTTGGAGAGGGCTTTTTCTTTCAGTTTGTGTCTGAAAGTTTCTTTTTTGCATAATCTACAATCCTTTATTGAAAGTTCATTTCAAAATTGATTGCTTTCCTTCTTTCTTTGAAAGATTCCCATATTTTTTTGTTTTGTGTGAAGATGGAGAAATAGAATGCCAAAACTTTTCTTTTCCAAAAGTTAGTCTCTTCTAAATCTCTTTCAATTTGAAATTAATAGTTACTTATTCAAAGGTGAGAAAATGTTTCACAATTTTTCGTTCCACAGTCTGATATACTCAGGATTCTCAATTTACTGCAGTTTAGCAGTGGAGAGTCGTATGCGTTATTGTGTTTATTTCTGGGGATGGTCAACCACGTCTCTGAAAGTTTTCAATGTGCAAAAAAAATTGTCAAGTGCATTATGAAAGTGTTTAGTACTGAAAACTGTAAAAGTTACAATATATTTTTATTAACCCAAAACTTTTGTATTTGTGATGCACTGTTTAGAACCTTTGGTATAGTAATGAATATTACTGGAGATTTTACCGCAACACTTGGAGATCGAAACACGAGTCGAGGTGTTAAAATAACGGTTTGGTGTTTGGAGAAAACTCCAGTGATATCCAAAACTTTAGGTTTCGAACTTCAAAACTGAGAAAATTCAATACAATCTTTAAACTTTTGAGTTCCCCCTTGTGAGTAGAAATTCCTGATACCCTTTCTTGATGCTTATTTACGCTTTACAAAGAACCTACCTGCATATTTCAAGATTCTAGATTCACCAGCTTGGGCTGTATGTTAATATACGAGTGTCAGTCAATCAATTTTAACCCAGTTATACAATAGCATCAGCAAAAAAAACTGATAGGATTAGAATAGAATACATTGGTATTCATAATGAAATGAATAAAATACTTTTGTGTAATTTCCACTACTTACTTTATTTTTACGATCGGTTTCGGGTTTTACCCTATTATCAAGTATAAAAGTAACATGTGAAATCAGAAAACTTGGTTATATCGGGAGATTTCAGGTAGAGAGAATGATAATTGGGTCCGAAAATCAGGTGCGCTGAGCAAGCACAGCCTTCTGCATTTGTTCGGCTAAGATTCCTGCCTCAGTGTGGCAAGCCGGCATGATTTTGAGATTCAAGAGAAGAGGCGGCTTCATTCCACCAAGGACTCCGATGGATATTACTAGAGTTCTTTCCCAACACCAACACGTGTGTCAATCACCATGTGATCATCTTCAAGAGGACTCCAATAATTAGAACAACCATCTTGACATATTGATTTGGGTAGAATTAGCGGAGTTCGAAGAAAAAATGTTTTTTGAAGAATATTTGTCTCGCCAGGAGCTGAAAACTTCACGACAAATATTGTCTTGCTCTAGTGGTCGAGAAGGACTACATCAGGCTCATGAGCGTGTATGAGCTTGAGGTTGGAAAAAGAATAGTTCCAATGAATACGGCACTCCTCGATCCCCGCAACGGATTCAATATCCTCCGGAGCGTAAGGCAACACCGCTGTCCTGTCAATATCGTAAGGGTGCCGTAAGTGGTGATGAAGCACTCTCAGGGCCGCGTTATGTTGATGGATATTGACCAGGAACGCATATGCTGGACATGCTGATAGTAAGTGCATTAGGGTTTCGGGTGCCTCGCGGCAGGCCATGCACCTTGTGTCAGGAACCTCAATGGTGTTGCAGACACCATTCTGGCAGGCCATGACTGACTTCAACGCACTCGACCTAAGCCAAGGTTTTCTATACTGTTGTGTGTATTGGCCTAACCTTGTGTTGCCGCAGGAAGGAAGTGATCTCTGCGGCTTTTATAAGAGCCTTGTGCTGAAAGAATTCCAACTCGGTGACAGAGTTGAGATCACCTCGTTTAGTGTCCAAACTAAACCAAGTTCACCAGCTACTCTGAAGAGAAATGCTTCAATTTCTCTCATGGTTGCGGATCATGCAGAAAACTTCAGACGACTTTATATGCTCCGTCTAGTACCATTTCATAATGTAGATACCCCAAACTCAAAAAGTCTACGGCCTCCCTGTTGTCAGGGGAAGTACAACCATGGAACGGATGATTTGGTATGCAAACTCCTATGGAGGTGCATACTTTTCCAGGTTTTCTCGTCAAGTTCATTCCACTACTCCAAACAAGTAGAATAAGATCGGGATGGCAAGCATATTTGTTGCAGCAACTTTGCTCTTCCCCGATAGTTCCGTTGACCAAATCTGTCGGATTTTGTACTGATACTTGCCGCGGAGAGAGCTCTTCACTGTTGTTACCTCTTATGAGTAGCGTTGTTCCACTTCGATGTGAGTATACGTCTCTCCGGCATCCAGATAGTGCAGGATGCTTTCATCTACGACTCACACGTATGCTTCATATTCCCCAAATCGTCCTCTCTTGAGATGGACCATTACACATTTGTCTATTTCAATTTTCATACCAATAGCATGCAATCCGGCCTCGGCTGCTCTTCGTCCAGCTATGAGTTGAAAACTCTGGCCAGGTGGCGGTGGGTAATTGGTAGTTTTTTCCACCAATATGTTGTCAGCCCATCTGGGACTGGAGCAGCAGAGTTTTAGGAAAGGAACTCACAAGGGCTGTTCAAACGTCTTCCGAGGTTATCGTGTTGCGCAGTTCATTGAACTCAGGCTGTCGAAGCTCTCTGCTGAAAGTTTCGGACTGCGCTAGGGCTGAAGTATCTAATTTGAGTGGTTGCGGGTGTTCATATATGTCATTCCAGGAGCATTCCACCTGATCAGCGGTCGGCGGATTATCCAGAACACGTGGAGGCTCTTGGAATGAGCAAGAAGGTGAGGTTTTCTGCGATTCTCCCCGTTCACCTCACTAGTAACTTCTTAGCAGCCACTAGCATTCGTATCCGATAAGGGCAGTGCTGTTTGGTGATCAGCAGCACATCGTGACTCAAAGCGTGATGGATACGTTGTTGTTTGGCGACTATTCGCCGCAATGTGGGCGTTGGCTTGTTGTCCGATCTGTAAACCATTACACATTAGATACGAGATGCGTGTTGTCTCGCCAACGTGATCTTAGCCTCCATCTTATGAACTCGCTGTTCAATCTTCCGAACCGCAAGGCCGCAATTTCGTCCTTTCTGTTCGGAAATGATTGGACGACGCTGCATACGACGGTGTTAATTTAGCAGATGTCAGCTTCTTCTGTTAAAACGGTGTTAGAACGCTATGAACCTCTACATCCAGATAAGCCAGGTTTTGTAGCTTCAGCGGCCTACTTCTGTGGAGCGCCCTGCGTGTTCTGATAATCTCCGTTGGTTGTATGATGCGAGTCTCCCAGTCGACCCAACGGGTGGTTCTACCACCAGTCGTGCCAACGGGTGGTTCTACCACCAGTCGACCCAACAGGTGGTTCTACCACCCGTTGGTACGACTACTGACTGGAACGGAGTTATATAGCCCTGCCGCAGAAGATAGGATACGTAATCCCTGAGGTTTTGGGCGGAATGAGCGGCATGCTCCGGATGTGTTTTAGACGACGTACTATGTGTGCATTCTCGCCATGTATCCTCTTTGAGCGGGCTCACTACTGTCGTAGCAACAATGCATTATTATTATTATTATAGGAACACCGAATATTCCCGAACCGCGAATGGTGGAAGAATTTTGTCAGTGATATCAGTAAAAGAAAATTTTCAATTTCACATATGGAACCATGTAGTTGAAATAGGAATAGATACTTTTTTTTGGCGCATAAAAAAGTTTGTCAATGAGCAAGTTCCTTGTGATAATCAAAGATGTACTTGCTTTCAAAAAATCATAGAAACAAATATTTCAATGTGGAACTATTCACACTGATCGTATACACGCAATCATGTGACACCATTTGAATTTCGCCATATTCGAACAGAACATCCTTGGACTGAAAATAAGTGGCTAACCTGATGTTGAAAGATAAAAATACATAAAAAATCTTCAATTTGCGTTTTCATGGGTTGGGAGTTTAGTATAGGTTGTTGCTTCAAAAGTTTTGTCCGTTTTTAAGAGTCTACTTTAAACTTCAATATCTCAGTGAATATTCATTCAATGCATTCAATGGATGCACATTTGCCAACGTAACTCAAGTCGATTAATTCCTGAGGCAGAACTTCAACGGTCAACTCGCTCATTTCTCCATAACAGGACTCTATTGTGATGGTTTGACCCGGTTACAGAAAGTTATTTCATTCGTCTTTCTTATGGTGTGAGAAAATTCGACCATATATCCCCCAAGTTCGAAGAGTTAGGTTGGTAACCGATTGCTAAAAACTGGCAGCTCCACATACTCGTCAATACACATACGTTCCTCATTTTCAAAAATCTAAATTATATTTATGAGAGATATAAAACTTTTGAAAGATTCGAGGACACGAAACCGTCAAACTTACTATGTATTGATTTACTTCCATTTGGCACATAATGTTATTTTATCGGGGGTTGTGTAAATTCTGGAAGAGCGTCCATATGTTAAAAGCGAATTATCCGTTTCATTTTTAATATAAAAAATAGAAACAGCTGTAAAGTTGCTTTTTCAAAGTATAATATTCTAACATTTCCCTGTATTTATCTATATAAATTATCAATATATGTAAAGCAACATATTACCAATCATATCCTACAAGAAACGCAAATGCACTTTCAGTTAAAAAGCATAATTTGAAGACATTTGAAAGATCTCTAGAC